TGTGTCTCAGTACTTGTGATTTCCTGTCGATCAAAAGTCTTTATATGTAAGTACTCTGATTGCCGACATGGAGGATTTTCATATATTTGTTAGTCTGTTTGTGTCCTGGAGATCCCTAAACATCTCATGTAAGCCTCTTCTCCTGTTCTTGGTCCAGATCCTTCAGAAACAGAAGCTTCGATCAGTAACAGCTGGGATGGAAGATGCTTCAAGAAGGCAACATGAACCACAACTCCTGAATCTCTTCTCCTATCTGACCCTGTCAGTTTGATTTTTACTCTGTTGCACGATCTCCAGTTCTGGTTTCTGTTCTGGAGTATTAGGGCCACATTAAGGACAAAAAGATTTTTTACACATTTTGCATATAAAGTCAACATGATGAGAATAAAGTTGAAGTACCAGTTCTAGAATAAAGTCGTAATGTCCAGATTAAAGTTGAAATGGTACCTCAGCTTTATTCTCATCATTTTGACTTAATTCTTGACATTTTCTTCTGGAAATGCAAAATAAAAATAAAATATTTACCCTCAGTTTTATTTCCTAATGTGACCCTAATACTCCATCGTAGTTTTCCAGTCCACAATGACGTGTTCCCTCCTGGTACATCACTGACTCTGCTGCTCCATTTACAGTCATTTCAGAACTCTATAAAAAAAAAGAACTTACTTACTTAACTTTCTGCAGACAAACAATCCATCACAGTGAGAAATTGTTTTAATTTTTTTGGTCTCTCTTCATGTGATGTCATCAAGAACAGTTCAATATCTTAACAGTAATAGTGCACCTATCAAAAAAGCATTATTCATGAGCTATGTCTGGCAGAGTTATTATATTATATTATATTATATTATTATATACCCAGACTGAAAAAAATACATTTACTTTTTAAAAGAAGTTAATATTGGTCTTATTCATCCCTCTGTCTTGCTTCCTATGTTGAATTCCTCTGTGATTAATGTTAATAAAATCAGTGTGGCAGCTGGCAGCTCCTTATCACACAGTTTATTTTCATCAGGTGGGTTGTTATTATGTGTAACCAGATCAGATATGTGTGTAAAAGGCTCAGTGAGCACAGTTTTATGACAGTCTGGGTGAATTACAATTTAATTCACTCAGGGAATCAGTTATAAAGTGATATAGCCTTTGGTAATTTCCTAAAATGAACTCTGAATAAAACTTACAAATTTTCCACCATGAAACAATTATATGAGTGAGTGTGACATTTCCCCCCTGTTGTTTCCAGCTGGCTGGTTCAGTTTAGCCCACTAATGTTGAGTGTAGCTAACTGATTTGTTTAGCTGCTTAATCGGTTTGGTTAAAGTTGGCTTACAGCTCAGTCTTTGCAGATGAAAAGATGTTCTTTACTTGGAAAATTAGCTTTTAAATAGACAAAATTCAAAAGATTTATTGGTCTCTCACCCTTGCTTCCAATTCATTCCAGTGGCCACTGGCGGCATGGTGCCCCAGTGGATAACTATGTGGCCTCACAGCAAGAAGGTCACGGGTTTGAACACAGGTTGTCCTGGCCTTTCTGTGTGGAGTTTGCATGGTCTGCCTGCATTTCCTCCGGGTGCTCCGGTTTTCCTCACCGTCAAAAACATGTTAGGTTGTCCATTCAGTGCAGTTGACCAGACACTAGTGCGCATCAGGAGCTGGTCCCAGGGCGCTGCACCAGTAGCTGCCCACTGCTCCCTTAAGGGATGGGTTGAATGCAGATAATGAATTTCACTATGTGTATGTGACAATAAAGTTCCTTCTTCTTCCTTCTCACGGAAACCTGCGTGAAAAATTCCCCTGTGGCTCAAAAAGCATTTTTCCACGTGCACCACCATTAAGAGACGTCTGTAAAACTGTTATGACTCTTTTTTTTTATGAATGTTTGATCCACAGAGGTTTTATATTTGTAAAACTGTCCTTGAGCCGAGAAAAGCAATTTAAAATTGCAGTGTAAAATCTAAAGGCCTCAGTCTATAAACATTACTCCACACATTCAGTGATGCCTCATCACCTGGAAGTAAACCCAGAAGCTAAACGCTTTTTTGGTGTACGCGCCAGGCGAGCAATTCTTATTGGACTGAATGGGCGCCATCTTTAGGTCAGGTATCCAGCTCTACGAACACATCCAAGGGCTGAATGTGCCTCACGTCTGTCCACCACAATGGTTTTTAGTTGTGCCACCTCCGTCATATTTTACTTGCATTTCATGGCACAAGGTTTGTTTCACGAGATTTTGTGTGACTGGTTCCCCTTCGAGGGAACTTGAACTGCGTCGGTTACGACACTATGGGAACGCCTCTAGGCGAAGCAGGTCTGAACGTGAATGAAATCGCTCCAATCCTATTGGCTTGTTGCTAGAACGTTAAGGTGTGACGGAATAACCGGAGGAGTATAAAGCACACCTGTACACACTCATCATTAGCTTTTTTCTATTCAGCAGGCGCTCTGTATGTTGTTTGAAGAAAGCTCCAGTCCTACAAGCAGTATGTCTTACCTGAAGAAGAAGTCTACCAGCATGTCCGGCAATCAGATGTACAGAAGGTGTGTTTTTTCCTTGCCCTCGGTACGTCACGGATGGAGATTCTCATGAGATGTGTGTCTCATGTTTGGGGATGGAGCACGCCCGGGCAGCTCTCGAGGGGGCTGCCTGCACCCGTTGCGAAGCCCTTTCCGTGCGGGTACTGAGGTACAGCATTGCTCTCTTTTCCGAGGATGGCCGGATGTGTTTTCCCCGTGGCGAGGGCCCTGTGGCCGCTGAGGCGGCCCGGTGGCTTCACTCATGGGTTCACAGCGTGATCTGTGGATCGAGGATTTCGGGACGGCTGAGGCTTTTTCCCGACCTTCATCCGCTGGCTCCGACGCTTCCTTTCCTCGTTCGGGAGCCCGTTCTCGGCTTCTCCCGCTCGCGGTTTGGATCCGGAGACGCTGCAGCAATCCGACTCCGAGGAGGCGGACGTGCTCAGCGTAGTGGACGATGACTTCTGGGTGTCGGGGCGGCGTCATCTGGCGGCGTCCGACTATGACATCAACATCAACATCAACTGGCCACAGGAGGAGCAGACACCACAGGCTAGTGGTAAGCTTGATGAAAGGTTTCTTAAGCACCACACGCCACCTCCACGCCGGTCTCTGCCATTCTTTCCTGATTTACATGATGAACTGAGTAATCATGGGGCAGACCCTTCTCTACACGGCTTTCCACACCCCGATCACTGAACTACAGTAATGTGATGGGGGTTAGGGACCGTGGTTATGGGAGGATGCCTCGGGTGGAGGATGCGCTTGCGAGCTATCTCTCCCTCGACTTGCGGCATTACCCTCCAGTCATGTGGCACCACATCTACGCTTGTGGGGAAGGCGTACATGGCAGCGGGCCAGGCAGGTGCGAGCTTGCACACCATGGCGGTGCTTCAAGCCTACCAAGCCGACCTGCTACAGGACATGGTTCAGAGGGGGGGTCCCTCTGAGGAAGATCTGGCGGAGCTTCGCAGAACCACGGAGCGTTAGACGCAGGGCGAAGCGTTCCGCCAGTACCTCCTTCGCCGGTCTGGACGCCAAGGCAGCTGAAGCTGCCAGGCGTAGGTCCCTTCCCTCTACGAGCTCCTACGGAAAGGAGAGGAAGCAGAGTGTCGCTTCTCGGGGGCCCCCCGAGGAGCTGGGGCAGCGAGACGGCGCTCTCACCCTTATCCTTCTGAGAGACGCGATCTGAGGACCGTCATCCAGTCCCGACGGAGCTGAGGGAAGACCGGGGTAGGGGAGTCTTTCTTTAGTCATCTAAAGGACTCTCTGTACAGACTGGCGCGTCAGATCCTCCTGTGGTCCCAGTAGAGGTTACTATCGCTCAGGGCGATGTATCTCCCGGGAATCAGGGAGCAGACCTGCTGTCGAGGCAGGGGCTGAGGCCCGGGAATGGAGACTTCACCCCGAAGTGGTGGAGCTCTTGTGCGAAGAGTTCGGCCCCATAGACGTGGATCTGTTTGCGTCTTAAGAGACTACGCACTGCCCACTATGGATTTCTCTCGTTCCTCCAGCCCCATTGGGTCTGGACGCCATGGTACATTCGTGGCCAAGGCTACGTCTGTACGCTTTTCCCCCAGTCGCTCTGCTCCCGGGGGTTCTGGAGCGGGTCCACCAGGACAATGTCGGCCTACTGCTCGTAGCCCCGTTCAGGCCAACCCGGGTGTGGTTCTCGGACATCATGTCGCTCCTGGACGGCCCGCCGTGGCGGGTCCCTCTGAGGAGAGACCTGCTGTCCCAGGCGCAGGGCCGGGTTCCCTTGCCACGCCATATGGCGACTGTGGGTCTGGCCCCTGAGGGGGCACAGTACCTAGAGGCGGGTCTAACAGCCGGAGCAGTCGAGACCCTCCTGAACTCCAGGGCCCCGTCCACACGGAGGATGTACGGCCTGAAGTGGAGCGTTTTCTCCACTTGGTGTAGGGAGCGGTCGGTGGACCCTGTTACCTGCCCGGTGGTTCAGGTACTTGAGTTCCTCCAGGACCGGTTCTCTGCTGGTCTTTCCCCTTCCACCCTCAAGGTGTACGTGGCAGCTATTTTCCACACCCCTCTGAGGGAGGGGTCCTTGGGGAAACTTCCCTTGGTTGTACGTTTCCTCCGTGGTGCCGGAGATGAGACCTGCGACTCGGTCCAAGGTTCCCACTTCTGGCAGTGGTTCTTGGGGCGGTGGCTGAGGCCCCCTTCGAACCCCTGGAGTCAGCTGAGGCTAAGCACTTGACCCTCAAGATGGCCTTTCTCCTTGCTATACCTCTCTGAGGAGGATGGGGGATCTCCAAGCGCTTTCAGTTTCCCCGCAAAGCCTGGAGTTTGCCCCGGGGAATATTAGGGCTATCCTGCACCCTCGTCCAGGATACATCCCTAAAGTGCCTTCTTGTGCGGCAGGGTCCACAGTGCTGCAGGCATTTCATCCTCCACCTCATGTGACGGCAGGATGTTTCTGTAGCGGCTGGCTGGGCCACTCCGCACACATTTATTCAGTTTTACACTCTTTACCTTCCTTCGGCACGGTTCAGTGGGTATCTCGTTCCCATAGTGTCGTAACTAACGCAGTTCGAGTTCCCTCGAAGGGGAACGTCTCGGGTTACGTATGTAACCCTGGTTCCCCGAGAAGGGGAACGAGACACTGCGTCGGCCCGCCGCACCTCTCTCCCCGCCTGAAGCGCCTGCTTCATAGTTTAAGCTAATGATGAGTGTGTACAGGTGTGCTTTATACTCCTCCGGTTATTCCGTCACACCTTACCGTTCTAGCAACAAGCAAATAGGATCGGAGTGATTTCATTCACGTTCAGACCTGCTTCGCCTAGAGGCGTTCCCATAGTGTCGTAACCGACACAGTGTCTCGTTCCCCTTCTCGGGGAACCAGGGTTACATACGTAACCCGAGACGTTTTACGGAAAGCAAAGCCACCAAACTGTTGTCAAGTCAAACACATAGCATGTTTACCCTGCTGGACAACATGGAGAACTGTGACTGACTGTAAATATGTTTAAAACATTCATGTAAAATATTTGTCAGTTTAAAAAATATTTATGTGTACTTATGTGTACAGTAGTGGCTCTTTATACTTAAATATTATTTCAAACCTAGAAAAATGATAGAAAACTGTAACTGCAAAGTGCAGAATCATTTAATTTGGCTTCATTGTAGTTTCTGCTGATGGTGCTTTTGTGTTTGTCCTCAGTGTTAAATGTAATCGATTTCAGTGTGAGTGTAGTAAAGGTATTTTTCCTAAAAAAGATGTGTTGTTGGAGCTTTGTGTGTGTAATAATACTTCTTAGATTCTCCATGTATTTTTGTAGTAATTAAAACTAGTATAGTAGTAAGAATTGATTCAGTGCTCTCTAAAGGGAGACCAAAGGTCAGGTTTGGGAGAAATTTAGTTCTTGGTTTTGCTTTACATCTAGGTTAATCCTACAAATGAACAACTAAGACACTTCAAACAGTTCAAGCTGAAAAACGCCAAGAAGAAAAAGT